TGTGTGTGTGTGTGTGTGTGTGTGTGTGTGTGTGTGTGTGTGTGTGTGTGTGTGTGTGTGTGTGTGTGTGCGAGGTCATGTGTTTTCAACCGTTTTAACAGTCATAAGTTACAATCTCCTGTCTATTTGTTTTTAAGCCCTATGTATACATCAATGCGCCAGTAGGTGGCGACCAAGTGTCTCCCTTTATAAATGAACCGTTAAATCATTTACAGCAAATCATTCATGAACAGAGCACATTTGCGTCATTGAATCATTCATTCAACCAATTCAAAGTGACTTTTCTTTAATTGCGCTCATGCAGTTAGTTCAAATGACTGTTGTTAGTTCAGTAATGAAACAAGGGATTCTTTATGAGTGAGTCATTGAATTATTTACTGAACCGTTTTGTTTAAAACAGTCATTAATTCATGAAGAAAACAGGTGACTGGTCTTAAAAATGCGGTCACCTGTTCAAGTCACTAGCTTTATGAATCCAGATAGCTTTATGAAGTCATTGAGTCATTCATTCAACCAATTCATTCTGGAGCACTGATTCATTCAGGACTTAATCAAGTTCCAAGACCCTACGAATGGGTCTTTGTATAATTCGCTCATCCAATTCATTCAAAAGAACCTAATAACGAGTGAGTCATTAAAATATTGAATAATGCACTCATCCGGTTAGTTCAAAAAACATTCAGGAAATCAACATGAATTGAGTCATTGAAGGGACTGTATTCGAGTGAGTCACTGAATCATCTGAATCATTGATTCATTCAGAAACACCAGATGGCTGATTCTGCCATGGCTTTGTTTGGAGGTATTTTCGTTGGTGGTACAAAAACAGACTAAGTAACTTTCAATATTGTGTCAAAAATGCAAGTTACTCAATATTAACTTCTTGTTTATTGGACTGTTGTATAAATCCTGGTGACGGTTGCGCAGTTACTTTCATTAGCTTTAGAAATGTTTACTTCTTTAAATGCACGTCTATGCAGTCATAATTTCTCTCCAGCTTTGATAGCTCATATCTTGTTGTAATACAATTATGTGACTTAAACCTCGAGCTTACTAACGGCATGTCTAGTGTTTTCCTAATTTTGAGGGTACATTGATTTACATTTCAGTTATCTGTCAACCATTTGTCTCTACATGGGAACTTCCTCTCTTATCTTTAGAGATTTTTCACTGGTGTTCAGTTTAATCTACCCCTTATCACGCTTTACAGAGAAACTGTAGGATCTCTTGTGGTTCTGAGGTATGTGGATCAGAGTGTTTTATCGCAGCAGTTTTATAATGATCCCACCTTTAATTTGTAACATGTTTTAAGGGATGTCTTTGGGAAAAAAAGTTAACAGCAAATAGAAAATTACATTTACTGAAGTAGGGTGACTCTATGCAACTAACAGTTGTTAAGACATTGCTAGGGTGTTCTAGCTGGTGGATATGGCTCGGATCCCTTCTTTAATGTATGGCTATGATTTTGTCATCTGCCCAGATGCAAGTATGATCACTGCACACCTTTATCTATCTATGAGCTATACCTCATATCAAACTAAGATGTCCTTCAACTGAATACCTTTTAAAACGGGAGGAATAATATTTATTTTCATTTATCCTGACTATTTTGCATGCAGAAAAACAAAAATCTAAATAGGAGTATCATGAAAGAACATGTTTCCTTTGGGAAAAAAAGTCCACTCCTAAATAAAAAAAATAACCAGTGAATAGTTTTGTTGATGCTTTGCAGCAAGTGTAATCAGTGCTGTGTTTTCTCTCTTTTGCAGATTTTCCATGCCAATACTGACCCATCTGAGGTGGTTTTGAATCGTATTCCTCAGCCCGTTCTGGCCCGGTTTGTTCGTATTCGACCACAGGTCTGGAATAATGGCATTGCACTACGCTTTGAGCTTTATGGCTGCCAAATTACAGGTGAGTGTTTATAGTCACATGGTTTGTTTTTATCTTAACATACAATGTATATTTATGAGGTCTTTATATAACTCTTGTCTGTTTAAAAAGAAAAAAACTGAAAATGTTCCCCTCTGTTGAAGATGCACATTCATGCATTTTGTATGTATTTATTTTTGGAACCCTTTTTTGGACCTTTAGACAAAATCATAAAAAAAAAAAAAAGAATATGGAGCTCAAGGCAGAAAAAAAACACATCAGTTTTATTCAGAGAACTGTATTACGTATACTGTGAGACACTTTGGATAACAGTGTCTGCTACATGACCATTTCATCATTTGAAGGCTGAAGTAAGTGTGCACTTCTCTCTCATTCTCTTTTCTCTCAGACGCTCCTTGTTCGGAGCTCCAGGGAATGCTGTCCGGGCTCCTCCCTGATTCCCAGATCTCAGCCTCCTCGGTGAGGGACCTTCACTGGGCTCCTGGAGCAGCACGTCTGGTAGCCAGCCGATCAGGTTGGTTTCCCGGCCCTGCCCAGCCTATAGCTGGAGAAGAATGGCTCCAAGTGGACCTCGGGACACCCAAGACAGTGCGAGGAGTGATAACCCAAGGAGCACGGAGCGGGGAGGGAGGAACCAGCTCAGAGAACCGGGCTTTCGTTCGGAAGTACCGTCTAGCACACAGCCTGAATGGGAAAGACTGGAACTTTGTAATGGATAGCAAGACTAGCATGCCCAAGGTATTTAATTTGCCCAGAGCATAATATAAACATATGCAGAATGCTTATTTTATAAACATACACTACCATTCAAAATGGGGTAAACTGTATTTGGTATGAAACTGTTTAAAGTATTTTAAGTAATACTTTTATTCAGCAAGGATGCATTAAATTGCTCAAAAGTGACAGTAGAGACATTTATAATGTCACTAAATATTTATATTTCAAATAAATGCTGTTCTTTTGAACTTTCTGTTCATCTAAGAATTGTGAAAAACATAAAGTATCACCGATTCTATAAAATTATTAAGTAGCACAACTGTTTTCAACATTGATAATAATTAGAAATGTTTCTTGAGCAGCAAAACAGCACATTAGCATGATTTCTGAAGGATCATGTGGCACTATAGACTGGAGTAATGATGCTGTAAATTCAGCTTTGCTAGGAAAGCAGTTATTTGAAATTGTAATAATATTTCACAATGTTGCTCTTTTTTTACTATGTTTTTCATTAAATAAATTCATCTTTGGTGACGTAAGAGACTTATTTACAACAATTAGAAATCTTACCAACCCCAAAGTTTTGAATGATAGTGTAAGTGGTTTGTTGCTGTTCTAAGAACAGCTCTAAACATCTTTACCAATATGGTTGACATATTCCGTTTTGTTGCTACCAGTCCTTACCATCTTGATTAAGATGGTCTACAAGGTCAAAAACCAAGTCCATTAGATGGAAGTCCAATCGATCAATCATCTAGACCAGCTTGGATCAATGAATCATCATAAATGATCAGCTAAAAAACATTTTCTAGGATATTCCAGTAGGGAATCAAGCCATTTGGAACTCAATTGAATTGTCAGAGTTACCAACTAAACATGCTATTCTAATTATTTTACTAGCAGGTTAACCACACCTGTGACATCTACGATACCTGTTCAGATGCCTGCATTCAGTGTGTGTGTTTCTTTCTGTAGCTTTTTGAGGGGAACACACACTATGACACCCCAGAGCTGAGGCGTTTTGAGGAACTGGCTGCACAGTTTATCCGCATCTATCCAGAGCGCTGGTCTCCGGCAGGGATCGGAATGAGAATGGAAGTCCTGGGCTGCAACCTGCCAGGTAGGACACGGCTCTCAAATACACCACTATCGTGAAATCATAAGTTGAATTACTTGGTGATGATTGGGCAGTTCCAGTTGTAGGGTGAAATTTATACAACTGACACTGAGCAGCTGCCCAGAAACGCACCGTCAGCTGAAAGCTATTGCAGCTTGTACAATGTTTTATATTTTTCATTTTTGGTGGGGAGAAGTAAAAGAAAATGGATAGACTGATGTGAAGAGAAAATATAAACATGGAAACAGGGATTGTCTCTAAGCGAATTGGATAGGAGAAAACAACCATTAAAAATTGGTGGAGGCTGGATGAATTTTGTAAGGCTTTACTGTGACGTCTCAGTTGTGTGTGTGCTGCATACACTATTGTTCCAATGTTAGGGGTCAGTAAGATGTTATAACACATTTAAAACAGTAATATAGTGAAATATTATTACAATCTAAAATATCTGTTTTCTACTTGAATATATTTTAAAATGTAATTTATTTCTGTGATGCAAAACTGAATTTTCAGCATCATTACTCCAGTCTTCAGTGTCACGTGATCCTTCAGAAATCATTCTAATATGCTGATTGCAGCTCAAGAAACATTTCATAGTATTATCCGTGTTGAAAACTGTTGTGCAGATTAATATGTTTGTGGAAACCATAACACTTGTTTTTCAAGGATTATTTGATGAATAGAAAGTTCAGAAGAACAGCATTTATTTGAATTAGAAATCTTTTGTTACATTCTTTCATGTTTGATCAGTTTAATGCATCCTTGCTGACTAAAAGTGTTAATTTATTTAAACACAGTGACACACTGACAACCACGCTTTATTTGATCACACTGACCCAAGAATTTTGAATGGTAGTGTATTCCCATTTATCTTTGTTTTAGATTTCAACTACAATTTCTTTGAAGAAATAGAAATAGATGCAAATTGTTGACATTAAGTAAGAATGTGAAGCAATTAAATAGATGTTGATAGCACTTCAAATCATTTTCCTTTTGGAAAAGTTCATATCGAGACCACTGATTTTGAGCTCAGTTTGAGAACTTATGAGGAAACGCATGTAAGAGTCCTGGGATCTATTTCTCAGGAGAAAAATATAAATGCTGAGCATTTAATCACGTTACTTTCTAGAAGCTACTAATGAGAAATTAATGACATTTTTGTTTCATGTTGGAGCAACTGCATATTTGTTATTATATTAAATTATGATTGTTTTTCTCTATCTGACTCACTAGAGCATCAACCTGGATGAATACATTCCCATGTCTACAATATAAACATGAAAGCCACACTTACACACTCATGCAGCAGCACTACTATAATCAGACGGCGACCCTCTGTGCCAATTATCCTCTCTGTTGTATAATTTATCATAGAGCTGCTGGAGATACATCTGATTGAGTGTGTGTGTGTGTATATGCAAATGTACAGTATGCTCCACTTTTAGGTGCGAAAACCAAATGCTCAAAGTTCTAGAGACCTTCAACATGTAGCTCTACAGACCTTCATATATATATATATATATATATATATTTACTTTATTTGTATAGGCCATAGTAAAGATAGATCTCATATTGAATTGATGCAAATGGAAATATATTGGCTGTGTTTAATTAAATTAAATTTAATAGCATTTCCTGAGTGGATATTGTTTGAAAGTAAATCCTTTTCCTTTAATTTTTTATATGAAGGTGAATAAATGAATACAGAAATGCCATTTTGGCGAACTATCCCTTTAAGAAGCACAACAACACATCTCTCTCAATTCCATTCTTTTGTTTTAACTTTCTTGCTTTCTAGTCAGTCTCTTTCTCTCTTCCCACCATTTGTTTTCAGGGAGTGTTCTTGCTGAGTAAATGTTTTTCTTTTGGTCCTGTTCTTCTCACTCCTCCTCCTCTTTCTGTTTCTCATCAGAGACCATATTACACTTTTTCCCATGTTCACTCTCCCACACACACAAACTCATATGTTATACATGTTCATCCCACGGAACAGCTGTTGTTGTGTATGCAAACATATACCTGCCCACACTGTGTTACTTAGTATGTACTTGGTTTAATCTCCCAGTGATTTCTAGTGTTCTGAGTGGTTGCTTGATTCTTCAAAAAAATGTAAAGTTACATTTAAATTTAATTCTTGTGTTTGTCAAAATATAGTAGTCAACATTTGAAGTGGACCAAAAAAGTTAATCAAAGTTGTGTCCCAAGACAAGAATGCATTTTGGTTTTAGGTTTTAGGACAACTTTGATGAAAGGCTGTGATCCACTTCAAATGTTGACTAGTGTAGTATCAGATAATTAATCAATCTTTTTGTATTTTATCTCAGCCATTTTCAGCTCCTCGGGTTTTATATGCTTTGGTCATCGTGAAGCGATCAAACGTATATAATATATAGTACATTGCATGAATCTGAGGTAAATTATGGGGCCCCAAAGGCAGCTATTTATTTTCCCAGCATGCACTATTGCTCTCTGCTGCCTTGCCAAGCTGTGATTGGCAGGCTGAAATATGCAGGAAAGCTTTATGCATAATTGAGGCTCTGTTATTTATTTATCTATTTTTTTATTATTGATTTATTACTTTTTGCTGAATCAGGGTCTTTGGAGAACGACGTGACAGCTTTCCTGTAGAAAGGGTGGGAATATGATGAAAGCAGAAATGACAGGACAAGAGTAGAGGGAGAGAGAAGAGAATGATATGGATATGAGCTGAGAAAGGGGGAGCTGCACGGAATGGATGGAAGACAGATTACAGCTATCAATAATATGCTTTCATTTCTTTGCCTTACTTCCCATTACTTCCAACACACTCAGACATGCACACACACTGTAGGCAATGATCTTCCCGCTAGTCTTAATCACATTAAGGCAACTGCAGCCTGCGGTGAGGTGTACAGTTACACGTATTCTTTAAAGAGACGGATAACATACACAGCCATTTTGAAACAGCAATAACCTTCACTCTAGGAAATGACTATAAAAATAGGGCCCAATGTACTGTTAATATGAAGGATTTTTCTGTATTGATTTTTCAAAGGTGTTTTATCCATATTTTGAATTGCACATTGCATTGTGTTGAGTTAAACAAAATCACCGTAATTTATAGAATGATGTCCTGGCAGAAAATTACAAAAAATTTAAATTAGAAAAATATTGAAAATTCTTTTTGGTAATTGAAATAAAGTTGAAATAAAGAAATAGATGAAAATCTTAAACTTATATATATATATATATATATATATATATATATATATATATAACAAAATGAAATAATAATTCTGGGTATTAAGGTGTCATTGTTACAGTGTAATTATCCATTTAAGTACTGAGTAATAATAGAAATATTTTAAAAAGACAAAAACTAAAATGGCAAAATTATATATAGTATATACATACTATAATAGTGTGTGTGTGTGTGTATATATATATAATACAAACACACACACACACACACATATATATATAAAATAGTATATAAATAATACAAAAACAACACTGCCATGCACATCACACTTTTGCCGTGAAACCTACATGCAAAGCTGTCGTTGAATTGAGAAGGATGCATAATTATGCTTCCTACCTTTTAGAACAGCCTTGGAGTGTGACGGTAGAAGTACAGCGGTTTGTGACGACGTTCCCTGTATTTGTCTTGTCTGTTGTGCTGACACAACTGTCACATCTCTGAAAGGTCAAAATCATTACACCGTGACACACAGCGACCTTTAAACACTGACCGAGCATCTTCAAGGCGTGGAGAGTGTTTGCACACGTGTGTACACATGCACGAGCGTAGTCCCACACAGGTGATGATATTTATCTGTCATCCCTGCACTAATTGAGTCAGAAGACAAAGAAAAACAAATGGACAGAGACTGCAGGTGCGGAGGCATATGAAAGAATGATCGAGGGAAAGAGGATGGCGTAGAGAGGGAGGCAGTTAGCGATAGGGCAGTGGAAGTGGTATTAGCTGGCTAATTGCTTCAGAAAAGGCCATGGCATTACAGTGACAAATATCACCAGCTGTGGCTCACCTTTTATGAATTCAAAATATTAATGTATGCACCGATTCGCTTCCTTTGCAGAAACTACTGTGAGTGACCGTTCGGTTTGTGTGCTAGATGTAATTCTCTACTTATTTAAGTCTAAAACCATTTCACTTGATTCTGTTTGTTTGTAAGGTAATTTACAAGATTGCTAAATTATTATTTCTCCCACTAGAAATCTGAATATTTTTCTGCAAGAAAGAAAAATCACATCTCTCTTAAACGTCCTTGCATAAATAATTTCCTAATCTCTATTTTTTTCTTTGTTTTCCATTATAATACAGTATATAAAAATATTATACTAAATTAATATATATATATATATATATATATATATATATATACACACATACAGTAATTTTATTATTTTATTTACTCTGTTGACAGATTATGTTTGTTCTTGTTTTAGGTGAAAATATTTCAGGCATTATAGGAGGCATTTTGGTACCTACAGTTCATAGTAAAATGAATCGTTTGCACTTTTTTTAACCCCTTAACTGTCACTCACATTTTTGAACATAGACGTGAAAGTGAACTATCCAAACGTACATTTTTATAATTCATGAATGAAAACATTTTGTAACATGATTTTGATGTACCATTTTCATGGTAATGCAATGTCTGATTATAAAATGGTTTTCAAAGGATGAATTTAGAGATTTTAAGTTTTCAGTTGATATATCATTTCTGATGATTTCTAAATCATAGAAATCATCTATGATAGAGCAACGAAGAACGAAGAAGACTTTTTTTGACAAAGGTCAGAACTCCTGTTATGATGTAGATTTTTGAGGTGCACTCTTGTCATAAATTAATCTATTACTTTTCCTACATAATTTTTTTAAATATCTATTTAGGAGTCTTAGACCTTTCCAATGATATAAAGTTTGTCATGATTAGATTAGGATTTAATTGTAATATAGTGAAGAAAACTTAGGCGTCCCACAGAGGGGATGGGTGACAGTTAAGAGGTTTTAAATAGCTAAATTGTTTTTTTTTATAGTATGCATGTATGTACATTAGTATGCATGTATGTATACATGTGTTGTTTTCATTCAACACCCCATGGCTTGTCTGGTTTTTCTCCCTAAAGCAACGCCATCCATCAGTCTGATGTCATCATTTAAGACAGATGCAAAAACCTGCAGGCTATATGGGGACAAAATTATAGTTTTGCACAGGATTGCATACTGTGCACATAGTTTATGTTCGCCTCTGCGCTAGCATAAATTCAGAGATTGGAGCTTTATGATTTAATTTATGAGTATCTGACTCATGGCTGGCTGCATAATTAAAATGAAAGGGAATCTCATTTGAAATGGAAAGAAAAAGAGATTTGTTTGAATGGAAATGCATTCTGGTCTGGGTTAAGATAAGATTGTTAATTATGTGTTTCCTCTGCAGAAACCTCCACACCAGCTGTAGAGACATCCAAACCAACTCAAGCCTCCACTGTAGAAACCAGCACAATGCAGAAACCCAGTCCAGGTTGGTTTAGATCTAATCACAAAATGTATGCATAATTTTTATTTATTTATTTAGTTTTTTACAATACAGAATTTAAGCCTGTATACATTTCACAAACACATTAAACCTCCAGAAATCAGCCGCCTTTGGGTTGTTGTTGCATGCATATGTGAAATGGAAACTAATCAGTCTACCAATAAAGCACCAATGTATTTTCACAAGGTAAACTTTGCTTAAGTGAAGTGCTTGTGTATACATGGAGCAATATAATATTTCAAAACAACATACATATGTACATGTGACCTGTAAGCACTTTATACCACTTTTTTGTTCAATAAATATCCATATCCCTTTAACATAAGTTACACTATCAGCATTTTCCGTGGCTTCTTTGGCAGAGTTGTTGTGATATTTTATATTTTTGCACATTGATGCAGCTGAAGTCAAAGGTCAAATCTCAGTTTAGTTTAAAGTGCCGTTAGCCTTCCAATGTTTTGCCAGGGTTGATGAATATTAATGCGAATGTATTGATGTACTCTATCTGTCAGTTACCAGCGCTGCCCTGCCGTCTCACAAAGGACTTATAATTAGTTCATCATTATATTAATAATCATAATTATATTTAAATAAAGTATAATAACTTATAATTAATTCATCCCTTTTTTGTTTATATTGTTATTTATATATAATATAGCATTATTTTTAAATATGGCATTTTTTACGCCAATATTCAACCAGCTTTTCCATAAAAGATCATGTTGGCAAAGTTTTGGGAGGGAACATCTTGACTTGCACCAAACCGGTACTAACCAGCATAAACCAGCCGGGACCCACATAGAAACTGATGCCAGTGTAAACTCAGCAGGGTATCTTGTGCCCTGTTCTTCATGTAATATGACTTAATTCTAACTCCAAATCAGTTTCCCATAATCATTTTAACACCTCACCCAGATGAAATGCACCTTGACTGTTTCCAGAACCGCCTTTTAGTTTTCTAACTTCAGTACGTGTTCTCATAAACTCCTGTGACCTCATTCCCTCTGTACACGGCGGTCTGCTTTCCACATGTCAGCCACTGGCATGAGATGTAGAAGAGGAAAACAGGATGAATGCTCGGCATGCTTTCTCTCCTCCTTTCTCCCTCCCGAACACTGTCACACTCCCTCTATTTCTATCCCATGACACATCCCAGTTAGAAGCGTACACCAGGAACAAAGCATGGCAGTGAAGACAGAAATAACAATCATTGTTTGATTGAAAGCTGGGAGTCCGTGGGCTGCAGATTACTACATATTCATCAATATGAAAGCAAGATTTACGTTCCTAGTACAACTTTCTGGTGAATGACTGTGAAAGAAAGAAATGATGTCATGCAAAACTTTGCTTTTAACATTGCATCAGCCTAGCCTCCCTTGTAGTTTTCGAGTTTGGCTTAATTACACATTTTTAATTTTTTTCTTCATTAATATTTCGTTTTATTCTGAAATGCATCAGACTATGAAAGAAAATTGTTACCATTTCACATGACACTCAAGGGCATGTGTTGCAGTCATTTCACCACATTTAAGAGTCAAGTGTTGACATGTAACGCAAAAATCATTGTAACGCTTGGTCTCGACTGACATATTGCTTTTATAAAAAGGCAGCAACAGCAATATGATTGGGATGGCATTGTTCAATAAATAATTACATTAATTATTTACAATAAACACAATAAATAATTCTTTGGCGTAGTACTATAACTGTAGGCTGTCTAATTTTGCCAAATATTAATATAGAATTCAATTGATGTGAGGTCACTGCCACTGGTTTGCATATTTTGGCTGTTTTACAGCAGTTTCAAATGCGGCTCATTCTGTCAGAATTTAGAGCTTATACTGTAGATTTGACATTTCTGATATATTTTCAATTATACACTGCTGTTTTGAAAGTTTGGTGGTCGGTAATATTTTGTAAATGTTTCTGAAGTCTCTTACGCTCAGTAAGGCTGCATTTATTTGATCAAAATATTTTAAAAAACTGTTATATTGTGAAATATTATTACAATTAAAAACACTTTTTCTAATTTAAAATATTTTGAAATGTAATTTATTGTCACATGATCTTTTAGAAATGTAATTTGCTGATCAAGAAATATTTTTTTATTATTATCCATGTTAAAAACAGGAGAGCCGTGTAATATTTTTTGTGAACAAAAGAACAACATTTATTTGAGAAATCTTTCTGTAACATTATTAATGTCTTCACTGTCACCTTTGAACAATTAAATGCATTCTTGCTGAATACACGTATAACTTTTATTTAAAAAATAAAAAATTCTACTAACCCCAAACTTTTGAACAGTAGTGTACATCATTATATATCATATAATCATATATGTGTTGTAGATGGTGCTAAGCAATATTGTTTAATGATTTATTTTGTTCCAAAACCATTTAAAAGTGTAAGAAGCATTGCAATTTCCCAGGCCTCCTTTCTGGAATTTCAAAAAACCTTTTCAGACTTCAGAGGCGCAGATTCTTGTGGAAAACTGCATTTCCAACTATGTATTCCAGTCCTCCACCTGCCTTCCAGGCGGATTTTTGCATAGACTTCCATGTACTTAAAGCCTCTTTCAAGAGATCATTATTCGTTTCCCCTTATAAATATAGTACTTACGATCAAAAAGATTTTTTTTTTTCCCACATAAATTAAAGATATTCGCTCCCCACCCCTTCACATCTCCTCATATATGCATTCCCAGTGAAGTTAAGGGGATTGTTATCCTAAACCTATTTTAAATTCATTGCCTTGGAATATTTTAAATGCTCTCTCTGAAAGACTTAACAAGCCATGCCGACAGCTGCAAGGTGTTATAGGCGCTTTCTGACAGTTCTCAAAATGTTGAAGACTCCAATAGGTCACATGTCTCCTCCTCGTCCAATCTTATGGTTCAGAGAGATACCACCACATGAGCTTTTTTCGAGATCCTTTTGACCTTGAAACGTCTGGAAAGATTATTCACAAATATATAGAGAAATAAAAGAGTGTGCACCTGTCTCTCCACTCCTTCTTCACTGTGGGGGTCGTGCCTTGCTCCCATTTAAGGCTCTTTCACTCTTGGCTTAGCAAACAGACACCTGCCGTCACCTAAAGTGCCTACAGTAGAGCCTAGTGGGCTACCGTCGCTCACGAACGACACTAATGACGAAGTGCTTGACTTTTCCCACAATGACACACTTGACTTTTCCGTATAATCACACAGCATGACGTTAGACGGGCGGGACTAGAGAAACGTGTTGCTTGGAAGCACAGTTTGGGTTGAGGAAGTGCTCACTGGCTGTTTGATAGGTCGGACCCACGGTGACACAAACCAGACTGTTAAAATGTCATGTGCTGAATGGCACTTTTTGCCCAGCAGGGAATGAACAAGATTACATGCGACTAACCAAAAGGCTACAACATTTTAATCTGTCGCTCTGTGTGATACGCCTTGCTGTGTTTGTTCTTTCACAGGTTTGGGAAACTACCTGTACATTGAGGCCAGTCCTGAGACGCAAGGCCAGAAAGCCCGGATGTTCAGTCCCAGTGTGGATCCCGACACTGGACCTCTCTGCCTGATATTCTCCTATCAGCTGGAGGATCAGGGAACCCTGAGGGTCCTGCTGCAGAACAAACACCAAGAGGAAACCCTGCTCTGGTCCCTCCGTGGAGACCAGGAGCCCATCTGGAAAGAAGGACGGACCATCATACCTCGATCTCCTAATGAATTTCAGGTAAGCAGATTAGACAAGATATACAGTAAAATGGGATTATATTAAAAATGTAATGTATGGTAAATAGTGTTGGTAAACCTTACAATATAATTTGCCTGGTTTTCATTATAGATTTGCGCAAAACTTTTGCAATATTTTATAAATGTCAATTAAAAAACTACTGTGAAATGACCGCATTTCCATTAACTGATGTTATGTGACTAAAACATAATTTTTTCCTCGCGCAATATAATTTGCCTGGTTTTCATTATAGATTTGCGCAAAACTTGTGATATTTTATAAATGTCAATAAAAAAACTATTGCGAAATGATCGCATTTCCATTAACTGATGTTATGTGACTAAAACTTAATTTTTTCCTCGTGCAATATAATTTGCCTGGTTTTCATTATAGATTTGCGCAAAACTTTTGCGATATTTTATAAATGTCAATAAAAAAACTACTGCGAAATGATCGCATTTCCATTAACTGATGTTATGTGACTAAAATGTAATTTTTTCCACGCGCAATATCATTTGCCTGGTTTTCATTATAGATTTGCGCAAAACTTTTGCGATATTTTATAAATGTCAATTAAAAAACTACTGCGAAATGACCGCATTTCCATTAACTGATGTTATGTGACTAAAACGTAATTTTGTCCTCGCGCAGTATCATTTACCTGGTTTTCATTATAGATTTGCGCAAAACGTTTGCAATATTTTATAAATGTCAATTAAAAAACTACTGCGAAATGACCGCATTTCTATTAACTGATGTTATGTGACTAAACCGTAATTTTTTCCTCGCGCATTATCATTTGCCTGGTTTTCATTATAGATTTGCGCAAAACTTTTGCGATATTTTATAAATGTCAATTAAAAAACTACTGCGAAATGACCGCATTTCTATTAACTGATGTTATGTGACTAAAACGTAATTTTTTCCTCTCGCAATATCATTTGCCTGGTTTTCATTATAGATTTGCGCAAAACTTTTGCGATATTTTATAAATGTCAATTAAAAAACTACTGCGAAATGACCGCATTTCTATTAACTGATGTTATGTGACTAAAACGTAATTTTTTCCTCTCGCAATATCATTTGCCTGGTTTTCATTATAGATTTGCGCAAAACTTTTGCGATATTTTATAAATGTCAATTAAAAAACTACTGTGAAATGACCGCATTTCTTTGCGATATTTTATAAATGTCAATTAAAAAACTACTGCGAAATGAACACATTTCCATTAACTGATGTTATGTGACTAAAACGTAATTTTTTCCTTGCGCAGTATCATTTGCCTGGTTTTCATTATAGATTTGCGCAAAACTTTTGCGATATTTTATAAATGTCAATTAAAAAACTACTGCGAAATGACCGTATTTCTATTAACTGATGTTATGTGACTAAAACGTAATTTTTTCCTTGCGCAGTATCATTTGGCTGGTTTTCATTATAGATTTGCGCAAAACTTTTGCGATATTTTATAAATGTCAATAAAAAAACTACAGCAAAATGATCGCATTTCCATTAACTGATGTTATGTGACTAAAACGTAATTTTTTCCTCGCGCAACAAGTCACAGTGACGGATATTGGTAGGTTTACGTATTTCACATCCAATTATAGTCAATTATATTATTAACTATTATTAACTGTATGTTGCTGTTGAAATTTTCTTCACCAGGCTTCTAGCGAACTAGTTTTATCAGCTTGACTGCCATGTTCAACTAACTTTTTCCTTGAAGATCATGTCGCTGGTCTTGTTTTCTTTTTTATTTTCTCTCTTTTTTGTTGTAAGCAAAATAACTTAACTTGAGATCACAAGAAAAATATGTTTTGGTCTTGAGAAAGCAAAATAAACTTTTTTAGTGGTGTTCAAAATGTGAGATTAATCGAGTCAATCTCATACATTTCATCACAAATTCACAAGAAATAGTCTATTTTGTGTATTTTTATTCAAATATACACAACACTTTTGTCTATTGTAAAGTATTTATAATAATTGTTGCACTGCTTTTGTAATTGTTAATATAATGATAAAGGTTTTTTTTGTACTTTAAAAAAGTTGAAAATGAGGATCTAATGAGAATCATATGAAACTATAATGGAAATTCAAACAATTAAAACATAAACTGAGATAGTGTCTCACTACCAAAATCTTTACGGTCCCCAAATAGGCTTCATTTTCTTTATGCACAACATAATTTCTTTCGATTGTGAGGTAAAATGTGACAGAAATATATTAGTGAACATCACTTTAAAAACACCAAAGCATGATATTTACTTGAATCTATTGACAGCCCAAATGATTACTCATTTGAATCATCATTAATTGTTTACTTGACAGCCTGTCAGAAATCATGGTGACATTTTACTATGTTCTCATATTTCATCACACAGGTGATAATCGAAGGATTTTTTGAGGGTACCAAAGGCCACATCTGGATCGATGACATCCACATGAGTGTGAACACACCACTGGAGGAGTGTACTCGTAAGTGTGCATGTTTCATCTTTTTCTTCCATCATTAGGTTTGTCCTTTTGTTGTCATTCATAGTCAACAATTTAAGCAAAAGCCTTGCATTATCTCGACCAGATGTTTCTCCCTGCCACGCTCTTTCTGGTTTCCTGTGAAGTTCACCTTTATCTCTTCATTACAGACGGCCATATTCCAGTTCCACCATTTCACCATAATTCGTTGAGAATCTCACTCCATACAGTAAACCTCTCTATTTATTGTGATCAAACCTTAGCCATCACAGCCACTATCTCAAAGAGCTTCTCAAAATAGAATTTATTAACATGAAAGGATGACACACATAAAAAATACTGCGGCTCGTTGTTTGCCATCAAATGCAAAATGTAGAATCAAATCTAGGCCACAAATGCCCCTGGGCCCCGATGCTAATCTATGTTTCATTATTTCCTTTGCGCTTCTCCTTCCATGTTTGTAAACAGAGATTTTTAACGGAATTAGCTGATAGCCCAAGCTTTTTGAGGATGGATCTCGCACAGAAGCTTTGTGGTTTATGGTCTTAAAGACATCAGAATGCGACCATGTGCTCGCCGCTGCTACGATTCCCAGTCCATAACTGGAAACCCTGATTTAGTCATTCTTGGCTCACTCCGAGGCTACGGGACTTGGTGGTTCATTTCGAATCCAAAAATTGGAAGCCTCCTGAGCTTGTGTTCCACCATGCGCCTGCTGTGATTCTTCCAAAAGCATGCTGGGAGAGTTCTTATCGACCCGTGCAGTTGGACTCGCAGTTCCCGCCAAAAAGAGATCCCCAAGCCACTGGCCCCCACGATAGTTTCTCGTCTTTTTCTAATTGTTTGTGTTTCAAGAATTCAAGCAATCTTCTCTGTCCCTCCATGTTCGCTCCCCAAAACAAAACCTTCAGAACATGAAAACATCTTGAAAACACGCTTCTGTACCAACAAACTGAGAATCAAAATGCCTTATCTGAACACTGAAGGGGGGTTCAGGACAGATAATTTAGCTGAAGGAAAAAATGCTTTTAAGTAATAATAGCATTTGGAAACAGCATCTGGCTGAATCTCAAAACCTGTTAAGAACATGTCCAGGTCATAACTCATTCCAGAAAATCAAGGAAAATCAAGATATTTTGCATTGTTACATTATTTTCATGACCATTAAGCACCTCATGCAATATTTATACTTTAAAAAATTAATTAGCAACAGAAGGACCATTTAAAATGATTCAGTGAAAGTAAAAGTGATACATACTGTGATTACTGAACATTAATGTA